TAAGACAGGCAGTGCTGTGTTTTTATGGCTACATCATATGTTTTGCTAACTACCATAAAATCACTGTATTTTCATGGCCAAAGTACTTCTTAGTGCGTGGGCTGTACTTATCAAGACTGTTTTTGCCCTTATCTCAAGCTGGGATTTCCAGTTTTATTTTTGAATGTGTTGTTGTGTTTCTTTTGTTTCTCATTCCAAGCGCACCTTCTATGACTAGTACTAATTTTATTTTCAATTTCCACTTTCTTTTCTCACTTTTCTTCTTCTTCTTCTCATTATTATTATTATTATTATTATTATTATTATTATTATTCTATGTGCCGTACCGCTTCAGGACGTAGGCGATCATGACTCTTGGTCTTTTCTCTTTATGTCCGCTGTTCGGCCATCAATTTACACAAGTTCGTTAGGTAGGTTATGATCTGCTTCCCCCAGTTCATCTTGCCTTGTATTTGTCCTGTGAATGAAACGCAGATATTTTATGACAATGGTGAAAATAGACGATTCCGTATATTCAGCATTTAAGGACAGAACGGTTGGCGTTGCTGTCGATTGCAATTTATAAAAACAATATCCTGAATGTTTGTTGTTTTTCTCGACATTTTCACGTTCATAGTAATTGTTCGTTCTGTTATGAGTTTATTTCGTAATTCATGTTTAAGTTAATGTGTTTAGTCTTGATTATATAATTATTTTACCTTCTAGTTATATATACAGTACATTGTGGTCACTACTGTTGCAAGTATTTAAGCGATGTTTATTTTTGATAAAGTTGAATTTTCTGCGTCCTTCTGTAAAATCTTATACAGGTTTTTTTTAAGATCTCGAAATAACTTCGTTTAAAATTATTTTCAAACCCAGTAATGATAATACTATGGGTGAGAATAGCCGTATCAATACAACAATTTTGTTACAATGATATTCATTTTGGACAAGGCACAAGAGCCACTTGTAGATGATAATGGATTTACAGGCTCTATCACGAGACAAGTGATAAAGGGAAAATCATTAGAAGGATTAGGAAATCCAACCCTAAGCAGGAAACAAGGGATAAGCCTCTATTCATTTGCAAAAGAAAGACGCGGTATGTCAACATGACGATAGGAAAAATTATCTATTCCTATTAAGGAAAAATGTAAATAAACTTCAGAGTTGGAGGAGGGGACATTAGACTAACAGAGCTGAAATATATTTTTTACAAGGAAACATAATCCTAAAAAGGAAACAAAGAATAAACATGGATCTTACAATGAAATATTTGGCATTCCTTTACGGAACAATTAAATATTGCTCCAGGTTTAATTTATATATATATATATATATATATATATATATATATATATATATATATATATACACACAAGTGTAGGATTCGTGTATGGAATAAATTCCAATAACCAACAATTACTATTCTTAAAAGTGTGCACAATACAGAGTAGACAGAATATAATTATTAATTCGAAAATTATAACATAAATATGTTATAAAATCACTCCAAAAATAGGCATTTTGTTTTAACACAACTGGTGTTTTATTATGTGATGGTGTTCAATGTAGTATAAAGGGTTTTAAAAGGTTCAAATAATTTAACCACCCCTCGTAAAGGGGTAAAACGCTGTTATATAAGCTGGAATGACCAAAATACAAGTATACGAGAATTCAAAATAAATAATTTTATATATATATATATATATATATATATATATATATATATATATATATATATATATATATATATATATATATTTATATATATATATATATATATATATATATATATATATATATATATATATATATATATGAACATAGAAGTCAACATAGAGGCGACAGTCTGTTTCATGCTATATGCAATCGTCAGATTGCATATAGCATGAAACAGACTGTCGCCTCTAAGTGTTGACTTCTATGTTCACTTTATATTTACACACGCCTATCTCTGATATTGAGCACTTTATCCCATAAATATAGCACACCTTAAGACTATATTTTTTATATATATATATATATATATATATATATATATATATATATTTATTAAAGACATTTTATGTTTAACGTTTTTTTTATAGATACAAGTATTTAAGTAAATGCTCTGTTTATAATGTATCTATAAAATCTATATAATGTATCTATAAAAAAAAGAACGTTAAACATAAAATGTCTTTAATTAATAAATTGTCGGACTTTGTCCATTTCTTAATATATATATATATATATATATATATATATATATATATATATATATATATTTTTTTACATTTTTTTCCAGCAAGATAGAATTGTAGAGTCCATAAAGTTATCACTCTTTCCTGTACTGATGTAAGTTTTCTTCGTAACCTTTGTTTAATTAATGTGAAAAAGCAATATCTAGATTATATCATTACCTTTCTATCCAGTTCCATGTCCAGCTAATTTTTTGGTGTTGCTGTTGGAAGAATTGCCTTTATGTCTGTTACTTTTATTAATTGATAAAAATGTTTTTCGTGATTGCCTAGAACCACTCTATATTATCTGTAGAAAGATCGTCTTTTTAAAACCTAGAGGGATCAATCGAGAGAATCGATTTTTAATCAGTGATAGTAGTCAACAAAACTGATTTCTGTGCAATTATCAATCTGTTTTGACGTCACAGTATTTAATAAAAGCTTACGTCACTGTATTTAATAAAACCTTACGTATGCAACGCTTTATTGCGAACATTACAAGAAGAGTTAACTGGCGATAGTCTTTTATTAGATAAGCCTTTGTATTGAATCGTATGACTTTTCTTCGGTTCATGGCGTAGTAACATGTTATTAGATATTGATTTGTGAAAGGGCAATATCTTATATTAAAACCAGGTTTTCAGAATTCAGTCATCTATGAAACTGAAACATTGGCATGAAGGCTCGATAAAAAAGGAATAAAGAATTATAAGAATTATTGATAAAAATCATACGTAAACATGAAAATGAAATTCGTTTAAGAATAGTACGTAGTTTTAAATATTCTCGCAGGAACAAAAAATTGGGTTTTAGAAAAACAGCCTTTGAATGGGAGACTGGCGGATGCCATTTTTATTATAAACGTTATATTCAATGGGTCACTTGAAGAGAGGTTTTAATAGAAACCGGCGCAGAGCTTGATGTCCTACTAAAGAAAAGTGTGTTAATCAAAAGTCCTCGAATTTGCGTCCATTTTTTTTTTATATATAGCCGAAGCTTTCCGTTACCAATTTCCATTACTAACTCTGATAATCTGTATCAGGTTCATTCCTTTTTTGTAATTGGAACGGAAACAGCCGACATTATTTCTTATCATCAGAAACGTTATTTTTCTGTGTTTGATTTGGTATTTTTTAATTATTTTCTAGAAAAGTTCAATTGATATTGCAAAGAATTCCGATAAAATAAAGTATAAAAATAAAATATATAAACAAAAATGCAAAGAATTCAATTTAAAATAAGGCTTTCCATTAAAACGCTTATATCTTTCTGCTCTCTCTCTCTCTCTCTCTCATACACACACACACACAACTAAACCTTTCTTTATATACATCTCTCTCAACTAACAGAAAGGCAAGCCTCAATTAAAAAAGAGGAAGAAGAAAAAACTAAACACAGCCGAAAAACGCAGGAAGTTTCCGGACCCGAGCTTACTAATTTGTTACTAAAAAAAAACAACGAAAATCCATGTATAACATCCGTTATAAAAAAAATGTTAGGAAGGTAACGCCGGAAAATAAAATAATTTTGGCCAATCAAAAAAATAAATAAATAAAATAAAATAATATAAGAAATGCCTCGAAGAGATTTTTGATGTTAGCCAAAACCAAGGTTCCTGAAAGAGTCTCTGTGCCTGGTGAAAAAGCTCACAGCTCTAAGCTAGACAAAAAGAAGGGACGCTGAGAGAGGCAACCGCCGGAAAAACTAGCCATGCTTGAAGCGGGAAGAACCATTGAAAAATGCTCTGCTTATGAACAAGAATAACACAGTAGATTCACCCTGACCAAGTTTTAATATTACTACTAATTATATCGCAAACTACTACCAATATCTTTCTTATAAACGAACATTTTGTGACTACGAATATCAAAGGAATCACACTAAATCCAATAAATAAAATTATATTATTTATTTTATACCATTGAGACAGTAAAGAAAACCAAATCCATATGATATTAAAAAGCGTAGATCGTGTAATAAGATTGTGGGATTGTAAAATCCATTTAAGAAATACCGTAGAAGAATGAGTTTGTATGGAATCAACATTAAATTAAATAAATACTAATTTACATAAGATTTTTTAAATATACTGATATTTCAATAATAATAATGATATACAGTGTAACCCGGATATAAGAGAGTTGTCGGGACTGGAGAAGAAGTCTCTTATATCCGGGTTTTTCTTATATCGGGATTTGGTTTATTTTATATACATTAACACAGGCTCTAATTTGGAACCAGAGAAAAATCTCTCTTATATCCGGGTTTCTCTTATAACTGGGTCTCTTATATCCGGGTTACACAGTATCATTTTTTTAAAATTTCGAATGAGCCATTCAACGGCTTTCTGTACGTGTGCAATCATTTTTTTTTAAATATTCTCTGTTTCAAATTGTTTGCGCTAATCAGGAAATGATTGATTAATTGACTGACTTGTTTTATTTTACCGCTTATCAATAATTTCTAGGTAATTTTACGACAAGAAATATTTTAGATTGTAAGAATTTTGAGGAGATAATAATGATTTACTCATTAGTCATACTAACCCAAATCTTTCCACCCCCGTTGGCTGTGGGGAGAAGAGGTATACTCCAATCTTTCCCAAGTGTATTTACGCGTAAGTGAATATGATTAAACCGACTGCAATTTGAACTCTGTTTTCTGATTTCAAATTCTGAGTCGTTACACATTGCATCACCTGTACATCGAAGCTTACATTACTTTGCATTCCCGAGTGTTCACACATCGAGCTACTTACCAGCCTCGACATTCCCTTGTAACGTGATATGGAATATGGGTATTAGGTATGGATTTCAGGATATGAAACCAAAACACAAAGGCTACATGGAATCATCTTCCGCAAGTAAAGATGGTTTCTGTGTCGGACCAGAAGTTTTTTTCTCGTCTGAGTCTGTCTGTCTATCTGTCTAACTGATAAGCCGTAAAATTTTTCTCGCTATCGCTGTATCTATTTATCTATCTATAGGGTTGATTAGCCGTAAAAAGCAAATCTATCTATCTATCTATCTTTCTATTTATCTATCTAATCGTTAAGCCGTAAATTTTTTCTCTCTATCGCTGTATCTATTCATCTATCTATCTATAGGGTTGATAAGCCGTAAAAAGCAAATCTATCTATCTATCTATCTATCTATCTATCTATCTATCTATCTATCTAACCGATAAGCCGTAAAATTTTTCTCTCTATCGTTGTATCTATTTATCTATCTATAGGGTTGATAAACCGTAAAAAGCAAATCTATCTATCTATCTATCTATCTATCTATCTATCTATCTATCTGTCTGTCTGTCTATCTGTCTATCTGTCTAATTGTCTGTTTTCTCTTTATCACTGTATCTATTTATCTGTCTAATTGATAAGTAAAAACAAATCTATCTATCTAATCGTTAAGCCGTAATTTTTTTTTTCTCTTTATCACTGTATCTATTTATCTATCTATAGGGTTGATAAGGCGTAAAAAACAAATCTATCTATCTAATCGTTAAGCCGTAATTTTTTTCTCTCTATCGCTGTATCTATTTATCTATCTATCTATAGGGTTGATAAGCCGTAAAAAGCAAATCTATCTATCTATCTAATCGATAAGCCGTAAATTTTTTCTCTTTATCGTTGTATCTATTTATCTATCTATAGGGTTTAGCCGTAAAAAGCAAATCTATCTATCTATCTAATAAGCCGTAAATTTTTCTCTTTATCGTTGTATCTATTTATCTATCTATAGGGTTGATAAGCCGTAAAAAGCAAATGTATCTATCTATCTAATCGATAAGCCGTAAATTTTTCTTTTTATCTATTTATCTATCTATAGGGTTGATAAGCCGTAAAAAGCAAATCTATTTATCTATCTAATCGATAAGGTAATTTTTTCTCTTTATCGTTGTATCTATTTATCTATCTATAAAAAGCGTAAAAATAAATCTATCTATCTATCTAATCGATAAGCCGTAAATTTTTTCTCTTTATCGTTGTATCTATTTATCTATCTATAGGGTTGATAAGCCGTAAAAAGCAAATCTATCTATCTATCTAATCGATAAGCCGTAATTTTTTTCTCTTTATCGTTGTATCTATTTATCTATCTATAGGGTTGATAAGCCGTAAAAAGCAAATCTATCTATCTATCTATCTATCTATCTATCTATCTATCTATCTATCTATCGATCTATGTCCCGACTTTTCATCGCTTGCAAAACCAGTTGCCGCTGTGAAGTCACGTGCATCTTATACAACCGAGAATACGTGTTATCAATTGTTGTCAGAAGTTTGCCGCTATTTTCCATTAGTGAGAAAATACAATAAGTGAATCTCAATGAAAAAAATATTGAGATAATATAGAACAGGTTTTAAGTGGATTTGGTGTTGACAGATATGAAAGTGACGTGTGTTGTTAGATGACAATAAGATACTTTTGTTTGGACTATCATATTTTTTAAAAAAAAGCTTGATACGCTGCGTGCTTGAGATTACTGTGATCTTTCTGATGTCTGAATGATTTCCTCAGCTATTAGCATTTTTAAAGATGTGGCTGATATTTTCTGCAAGTAAAACGAATGCAAAACGTTCCTGAATTGATGACAGCCGCTCTTCGGGAGATTCTTGTCTTTTACCGTATCAGTATAATTGTTTTGTTTTTTTTTGTATTTTTATAAAGATTAATTAGCAGAAAAAAACACAAAATATATACGTATATTTAGTCGTCACTTGTATATTGTAAATGTGAGAATATGTAAAAAAAAATAATAAGTAAAATTCCATTCTTGGAGATTTATTGCTAAACCCTGGTCAAGATTTCGATATATCCGATAAAGATTTTTTCAGTCAAAGGCATAGATGCTTTGAGATTAATAAGCGTCAAACGACAGCTTTGAATTTTTACCTATTAAATTTACCTATATACTATCATTAACCAATGTTTTAACTATTTTGCAATTTTACTAACTTAAAGAAAAAGACAATAATTTAACAAATAATTCCTGCAAAATTAACGCATAATGAAAACATGACAATGTTCTCTTTACAATTCCATGAAAAAAGACCAGTGTCCTGTATTCTTTATCACATCGTTTCCATTTTATTATTGTTTAGGTTAGATATGACATGCGGAGAATCAAGCTTTGAAAGTAGTCCAATGTTTCCCAACGTGGGCGCTAGCGGACTCTTGTTGGCCCTGTTATGTTAAAACGGGACATTCGGAGTTTTTTTATTTTATTTTATTTGAATGTTGTGAATATACTCAGTGTGGCAGTGGGCATTTATCTCTTATTTACTCTTTTTTATCAAATTTTCAAATATTATTCAATATTGGCTACAAAAAGAAAATTTCTGAAATATACCTCAAGCTGTGGAAAACTATCAAACTTTTCTTCATTGATTTTCCAACTTCCTATATGGCTGGATGTGGTTACAACGCAGTTACACAGCTTCTTACTAAACATAGAAACCGCCTGAAAATGACAAAACTGGATCTACAATACCTTCTAAGCAGCATGAAGTCTTAATAAGCCCTAAAGTCGACCATTGAAAACATTGATGTAAACTATCAAATAATGATATTTTTAGTGTTTTAATTATTGACATTTATAATAGAAATTAAAATTATTTTTGAACTGATATCTATCTTCCTATGAAATACGAATTCAATATAATATACAAATTTAATTTTAAATTTTCGGGGGCGTTGAAAAATATTTGGTTACAAAAGGTTGGGAAACACGGATGTAGTCAAACGAAATTTCTTTTACCCTGCCATTAAGAAAAGCTTCAGAATATGAAAATTCTTTCTATTTGCGACGTAGATTTAAAAAAATTACCCTTTAATTTCTATTTTGGTTCACATTTGAGCTGTTCCCTGACAAGTCCAGTCTTGTTGATCTTGTTCAATACCTCTGAAAGGCATCTGTCTATATTTTTAGATGAGGTATTTTAATTAGTTAGATTATTTACATTGTTCGGGCTGTTATTCTTAACTTTATTGTTATATTCATGACGTTTCGGCTATTGTAAACTCCGTTCTTCTTTAGGTGATTGGAATTGCGAACTAGACCCTTTACTTTGTCCAACTGGTTAGATCGTTTCCTTGGCCAAACTGAGTAAAAGGCTTCTCGACTTCATTTATTTCTTACCTTCGCTTTTCGCTCTTGCCGAGCTTCGCAATACGGCCCTCTAGATAACCCGGACAATTCTGTGGTAGCTCTTGATGTCTCCTTCCAAGCATCCATTAAAAAAGAACCCCCTATCGATAAGCCGTCTTTCCGTTACTAAACCGCTGAGTGGGACTCATTCCGGGACTTTCTTAGTGACGCTCCTTCGGCTAACATCTTCAACCTCCCAACTGAAAATATTGCCACTGAGTTTTCTTCTTGGGTGAAAGCCAGCATGGACGCTTTCATCTCTTCTCGGAAATACCAAGTGAAGCCACAAACATCTACATGTTTCACACCAACATGCTCAGCGACCATAGCACACAGGAACCACTATTTTCGGCTATACAAGCGTGACAGCTTTCGTCATACAAGTGAGAAGTGCGAGAAAAGAAACTGTTAGCATGGAAATTACGGTTGTATCTAGTCAGTTCACCTGTAAATTGAAGATATCTCGACGCCACTCTAAAACTGCGCTTAATTTTTTTTTTAAATTCTAAGTACCATAGCGAAGAACCAATATTTATTTCCGCTTCAATTAAAAAAAATGTGGCACATGGCCAAAAATGGGGAGTGAGAAAAAGGACGGTCTTTTTCTGTCTTAAATTTAAACCTATCAACAAACACTGGCCAATTCATAGCACAATATTCCTAACACCAAAACAACACATACTTACATTTCTTACTACATTCACCATAATATCTCTTGTCTCTATGAAAATCCTAATTAGTTTCCATATGTACAAATCATTGTCTGTGGGGTAGGGTAATAAAACAACTATTTAAAAACTACCGCTAATGAGTATTTACAATATGAATATAAACATATTTACAAAAATAAAATAATAATGCTGATAATAAGCCTCCACACCTACAGTCCTTAAGAGCAAGATTTATTCTGTTTTGTACAGAAATGTGGCACAAGGCCGAAGCGGAAAGATCGGTCAGCTTCTGTCTTAACTTTAACTTAGCTAGCCACAAACATTGACCCAATCATACAAACAATATTCCTAACAACAAAACAACACATTCTTATGTACCTTTCTTACTACATCCCCCATAATACCTCATTGTCTCTATGAAAGTACTAACTAAACCCCATATTTAAAATTCATAATCTGTGGAGGAGAAGAATAAACCAACTATTTAAAAACTAGCCCTAATGATTATTTAAAATATGAATATAAACCTATTTACAAAAAAAAATAAAAAAATAATGCTGATAATAGCCTCCCACCTACAGTCCTCAAGAGCCCATCCCCAAAAATTACCATAAATACAGAATATTTATAGAAAAATATTCGAATTATATATATATATATATATATATATATATATATATATATATATATATTAATTTGAATATTATGACCATATATGTTATGGGACTACAAAAATAATTTTGTTTCAACATTTTGGTATCTATTATGACAATGTTGAATGTAGAATAAAGTGTTTTAAAAGTCTAAAATCAATTAGGGGTTGTTAATTGATTTTAGCCTTTTAAAACACTTTATTCTACATTAAACATTGCCACTTGATAAGACACCAGAGGTGTCGAAACAAAATGGCTATTTTTGTTGTGATTTTATAACATATTTATGTTATAATTTTCGAATTAATAATTATATTCGCTCTAGTCTGTATTGACCAATCTTTTAAGTATAGTAATTTTTGGTTATTCGAATTTATTCCGTATACACCAATCCTAACTTGGTTTTATATATATATATATATATATATATATATATATATATATATATATAGTTTAGGATTTTTATATATATATATATATATATATATATATATATATATATATAAGGCATTACATTCGAACACGCCAATGATCGACAGGGTATATATATATATATATATATATATATATATATATATATATATTCTGAAACGATATAAAGTACCCCAATCCATACATTTAGGAGCATATTGTACTTTAAACCGCTGCCGAATGCTGTGCCAAATTTATTTACATTTAAATTAGATTTCTGTGGTTACCGCATTCTTAATATTAAATTATTTATTGGTTTAAGATAAACATTCTTATATCTTCTTCTTTTGTGTTCTATGCCCGTTCAGGACATAAGCGACCATTTCCCTCTACATCAGCTTGCCTAGTGTAGCTATTAATACGATTTGACATCTTGTAACATCTCCCAAATCATTTTCTTCCATCCATATACCTATGTGTGTTATATATGTTACGCGCAGCTTTCTTCTGTCCCTCATTCCTTCAAACTGTTCTCTGCGTATCAGATTTTCCAAGTCGTTTTTCTTTATTGTTTGCTACCAGTAATTTCTGCTGCCTCTTCCTGATATTATGTATAAGTTATATTTTTTTTCATTTTCTCTAAAACTTTGTAGTTGCTCACGTTCATTCCATGGTATCCTTAGCATCTTTCTGTAGAACCGCCTTTCTATTATTTAAAGAAATTTTTTTCATCTTTGATATGATTGTCTCGCATTCGCCAGTTTTTCCACTATCTTGAGTTTTCTTCTCTTTTTTTTCGATAAATTATTTCATGGTAATTTTTAGGTTGACCTTTTCCCTATGATAGCTAAACTTTTTAATTTAACCGTAGTGCTCGACTGGCATCGAGATGTCGTCAATTGACTGGTGAGCTGGCTAGATATAACTGTAATTTTGATCCGAACAGTTTCTTTACTCGCACTTCTCCCTTGTGAACACCCTTCATGCTATATGTATTTCAACATTAATCATATATAATATATATATATATATATATATATATATATATATATATATATATATATATATATAAAGGACAATAGGAAAACTGTAGTTGTTGCTGACGCGTTTCGTTCAACGTGGAATTTCTCAAAGCAAAAAACGAAATGATTTTAATTAAAGAACGTAACTAATAATAACAAACACAGAATGTTATTTCCAACTGGAAGTATGTAGAGAACGCTATTTTCATATTGTTAACTGAAAATAACGTCAGTTATTGTCACGTGTGGAGAATATTGTCTTTATATCTGTGCTGGCTGATACAACCATTGTCTTTTGATTTTACGATATTGATGT